CTCACTGCAACCTCTGCTTCCCGGGTTCAAGCGATTCTCCTGCCTCAGCCTCCTGAAAACCTGGGGTTACAGGCATGCGCCATCATGGCGGCTAGTTTTTGTATTTTTGGTAGAGATGGGATTTCACCCTGTTGGCCAGGCTGGTCTCGAACTCCTGTCCTTAGGTGATCCACCTGCCTCGGCCTCCTAAAATGCTGGGATTACGGGCGTGAGCACGGGGTCTCTGTGTGGACGTGGAGTTGCAGGGCCACGTGGTCATCCATCTACACTGAACATTTTGAGCAACCCCAGACAGTCTCCACATGGGCACATCATTCTGATGCACGGCAGGCGAGCCCGAAAGAGGAGCTTAGTCCAAGAGGTTCTTGGCTTTGCCCAGGAAAGAACTGAAGGGTGAGCCACAGGTGGAAGAAACAGCTTTACTAAAGAGGCAGGGTTTGGCTGGGCTCAGTGGCTCAAGCCTGTACTCCCAGCACTTTGGGAGGCCGAGACGGGCGGATCACGAGGTCAGGAGATCGAGACCATCCTGGATAACAGTGAAACCCCGCCTCTACTAAAAAATACAAAAAACTAGCCGGGCGAGGTGGCGATGCCTGTAGTCCCAGCTACTCGGGAGGCTGAGGCAGGAGAATGGCGTGAACCCGGGAGGCGGAGCTTGCAGTGAGCTGAGATCCGGCCACTGCACTCCAGCCTGGGCAACAGAGCGAGACTCCGTCTCACCAAAAAAAAAAAAAAAAAAAGAGGCAAGTACAGCTGTGGCTCCTCCTGCAGGGTGGGGCTCCACAGACAGACAACAGCTCAGGGCAGCTCTGCAGCCTCATTTTTAGCCACTTTTTTTTTTTTTTAAAAGACAGAATCTTACTCTATCGCCCAGGCTGGAGTGCAGTGGTGTGGTCTCAACTCACTGCAACCTCTGCCTCCTGGGTTCAAGCGATTCTCCTGCCTCAGCCTCCCGAGTAGCTGGGACTACAGGGGCCTGCCACACTAGGCTAATTTTGTATTTTTGGTAGAGATGGGGTTTCACCATGTTGGCCAGGCTGGTGTCAAACTCCTGACCTCAGGTGATGCACCCACCTTGGCCTCCCAAAGTGCTGGGATTTACAGGCGTGAGCCACTGCACCCGGCCAGAAATGTCAAATTTTGATGAAGTCCAATTTGTTTTCTGTTTTGTTGTCGGTGCTGTTGGTGTCATAGCCAAGAAATCACTGCCAAATCCAATGTCATAAAGATTTTCCCAGGTTTGATTCTGAGTCTTACAGTTTTAGCTCTTAGTTTAGGTGTTTCATCCTGTTTTTTGGGTTAAGTTTTGTGTATGGTGTTAGGTAAGGGGCCAGCTTCATTCATTATTTTGCATGTGGAGATAACGCTTTCCCAGCACCATTTGCTGAAAAGACCATCGTCTTCCCATTGAATGGTCTCGGAGCCCGTGCATGTGGGGCGATTTCTCGTCGGAAGGTACCTGGCCACGTGTGTGGGGCGATTTATCAGGCCGTTCTTGTTGGAAGGTACCTGGCTGCATGCGTGGGACAATTTCTCAGGTGGTTACTGTGCCCCGTCCTTCTCTAGGTCTCCGTGCTGCTGCCACAGTTTTGACAAGGGAGATTTTTTTTCTGCCAGTGTGGGCCAGCTGCCACCGTCTGTGGTATTCTTGTGCGTTGCTGATCTAAAGCTCCAAAGCTGCCGTTCTCCCAAACCTTCCTGCCCAGATGAGGACCTGGGCAGCCTGAGACCTCCAAGCTGCAGTGAGGGTGGCTGAGAGTCTGACCCAGCCAGGGAGGCTGTTCCGGGGACTCCAGGGTGCCTCTCCCTTCCCCCAGGCCCATGGTTGACCCAGCAAACCCACATTGAGGGCCTGGCACAGGACCACGGGCCACTTGGTGTCAGAGCACAGAGCAAGCTCTGGCGAGCCAGGGGGTTGCCATGGGGGTGCCAGCAGTGGTTGCTAGTGCAAAGGCCCCACGGCCCTGACCACACAGGGACCCCAGACATTTGGGGGAGACGGGCTCAGTGCGGTGAGGCCTTGGGACCATCTGCCAAGGACTGATGGGGTGAGGGGAACCCAGCCTTGGAAGGGTCAGGTGTGACGGGCTCTGGGTCTGCAGAGGGTGCGGGCTCCATTCCAGCCAAGGCTGTCACAACCTGACCTCAGGTCAGCTGTCGGCCCCAGGTGAGTGGACGTCTCTGGGACTCTGGATCCGGAGACTGGACCCCCACCATTAGGGCCCCTCTGCCTGCTGGGTGAGGGGGTCTCCCCGAGCAGGGCTGGGCACTCACAGGTCGGAGCCAAGGGCTCCATGGAGTGGGTCCCCGAGGCCCCCAGCTGGGTCCAGGGGCCCCCCTATTTTCGTGACCTTGGTGGGGTACCCAGGGGTGTTAGCAGACCTGCCCTCCACAGTGACAAGCCCCCGAGGCTGGCTGAGAGGGGGAGGGCAGATCACACCATGGCCCCCACCCCTGAGCACCCTTTCAGATGCCCAGGCCTCCGCCCCCAGGGTCCCAGGGGACTTCCTGACCACAGGCATCCGTCCGACCTGTGTGGGGGCCGATGGCCTCACTGCCCCGCACCAGCAGGCAGGACCCTCCGTCACACAGAACACAGGCGGCGGCGGGCGGGGCGTCTCGCACAGGCTCTGTGGAGAGAGTTCAGACACAGGGGAAGAAGCCGATAAGCCCAATGGGAGGGCTGAGGGCCACGATTCTGTTTATATGAAGCGTCCTGAACAGGGAGACCTACAGAGGCGTGAGATGGATTCCCTGGGGCTGAGGGCTCTGTCTGGAAGATGGAAATGGGCCGGACAGAGTGGGTGGTGGACGCACAGCCTCGGGAGTGCACTCCACACCACAAACGACTCGCTTAACAACGGCCACTGGTCTGCTTCATACTGTGTGACTTGGCCCCACATGCCCTGTGACCCCGCCGCCAGGTCCCCTGGGAAGTCACAGCTGCCATCCCCGATGGAGGATGGGGGGCCGCTCCAGGGCTCTTGCAGGCCCTTCCCATGGTCTCAGGATGGTGCTGCAGCGCCTCTGGGCTGTGGGTCCCGTGAACGGGCTGCCCAGTCACTCCTGCCGTGGGCTCCTGCCCTGCCCCCTTGCCCAGGACCTGCAGCCCCACCACAGGGTCCCTGGGAGACCAGTGGTGCACACCTGCCCAGGGACAAGAGGAGCCTGGAATGGGGTGGAGGAGCCCGGGAGGAGGGGCTGTGGGATTCGGGACCCACCATGGGGAGGGCGGCCGCACGGCAGGGTTCCGGGCAGGGGGCACGGAGGGCTGCTGGCTCCTCTGGCCTCCACCTTGCAGAGGCTGGGCAGGGGCACCCCTTGGCACCAGCCTTTCCTAGGTGATGGGTCCCTCGGGTCCCCACAACTCCTGCCGCTGCCCGAGATGCCTGCCTCTGAGCTGTGCCGCAGGGCTGAGCCCCTCCAACAGCAGAGCCCCTGGGACAGCCCCCCAGGAAGGGCCGCCCAGGCCCCTGTGGCCGACAGCTCCGCGTGGTTGCTCCAGTAGACTGGCTGGCTCCTGGCGCGTCCCTCTGAGGCCCCGTCTGTCCCTCCACAGACACAGGGCGCCCTGTTTCCCCGGGAGCTGGAACACGGGCCCTCTGTTCGCACCTGGGCTGGCCGTCCCCCGGCCAGGCTGAGGGGGGGCTCCACACAGACCCGCACTGTGCCCACCGCAGCCGGCCTCCTCTGCCTGAACCACCGTGTTGTCCCCACCGGGGCCCCCCACAGTGGCTCAGCCGTGGGCATCACGACTCCAGGCGCCGTGGATGGAGACGGGGAAGGGGTGGACGGCCGCCCCCCAGGCTTGGGGAGAGGGGAGGGCCTCTGTCCTGCGGTGGGACCCACTTCTGACTTCTCCTGGGACCCAGCCTCACAGCGTCCTGGGTGGGGGAGACGTTGCCCCAGAGCTTTGCCTCCTTCCAGCAAGGCCAGCACCCCCGCTCGTTCCCATTTAACTCCAAGTATTCCCGCACACAGCAGGCACTGGAAGGGTTGCCAGGCAAAGCACCACCTGTTCACCTCTCCACCCCCAAAGCCTGAGTCCTGCTCGGTCACCCGCTGCCCCATCCCCGGAGTGTGGGCTGGGGGCATGGCCACTGCCAAAGGGAGGGAGGCACAAGAACTTCATTTAAGCAGTTTGTTTTCAAGTCAGCTGGTAAATGGTATAATAGGAAGAGTAGAAAAATATGTAATAGATAAGGCATAAGAATAGGAATAATAGAAAAACGTGCAGTCGACGGTTTGTCCGATGATGATGAAAGTGTGCACGGCCGGCGGTCCTGTGGTTGAGGGGCCGTGTCAAGGCCTCGCAGGCAGCGCGGTCACAGCCTGGAGGGTGGGGCTGATCATGTGGTGTGTCCGTCTGCACCTCACAGACACCAGTCACTGGGGGGTGAAACCGGGCCCAGAACACACGTGTGCACGGGCTGTGTGTGCCCTTGTGTGTGCCTGCATGTGTGGGATGCGTGTAGGCTGTGGCGGGGGTGGGGATGAGGGACAGGACAGAAAATGGCCCATCCAACCCCACATCCAGGCTGAGCGTGTCCAGGTCCCTGTGGGGCAAGGGCTCGGCTGCCCCAGACGTGACGGGGACTCGGCTCTGAGGGTCAGGACCTGGCTGGGAACACACCATTGAGGAGGAACAGAAACCAGCCGCTGGGCCGCTGGGGACCCCGAGAGCTCCCTGGCTGGACCTGTGGTCAGGGCTATAGTGGAGGAAGGTGTCAGGATGGCCATCGTCTCGACTCCTGTGGGCGGCACGGCCCCAGGCTGGGCCTCTGGGAGGAGGGAGGGACGGACGGGAGATCAGAGCCCCCTGAGAAGGCTGGCGCCTGGGACAAGGGTTGGCCAGGATGTGGGGTGCCAGGCGGGCAGGGCCAGGGTGTGACAGCAGACCCCACCCAGGACCCCTGTGCTGGGGGCTGGCTCCCTCCGCTCTTCTCTCCCGTCTCTCTCGGCGGTGCCGAGCTTGGGCCAGGCGCAGGGAAGGGCCGACGTTGCTGAGCCGCCAGGGGCTGGGTCTTCGCCTTTATTTCTGGTGCACGTCTAGAGGGGCTGGGGCAGAGGCCACCCACGGTCCCTGAAGTAGGGCCTCAGCTCCTCCAGGCTGAGTGGAGGGAAGTAGGCTCCGATCCTCTTCCGCACCCACCACTTGCCCTCGGCGGCGTGCCTGCCCCCAGGACGGCTGAACTTGTACCTGTAGTGCTCTCCGCGGACCCACCTGCAAGGGGGCACTGTGTCAGCCCAGGGCCTGCTGGGACTCCCGGCCCCCGACCCGGCTCCTCGGCCTGCTGCTGAGCTGCAGTTGCTCACAGGGGTCCTCCACGGACAGAGCGGCTGCGTGAGGAGCCCCCACCCCGAGCACAGGCCGACCCCCAGCAGACCCCGGGCAGGGCGACTGTTCCAGTCCGCAGCCTCAGCAGGGACAGCGCAGCCAGGGAGAAGGGCGGACGTGGGCAGCTCCGGGAGAGGAGACCCAGCAGGGCCCACACGGCAGAGCCCACATGGCAGAGAGACCGGCCCGGGGAAGGCCAGAGGCTTCAAGGGTGGCACTGGGCAGGCCCAAGGAAGCTCCCAAGGGCCCAGGTGGAGCCCCAAGTGCCCCCACTTGGGAAGGCGCGGACCCGGGAAGGCGCGGACCTGGGAAGGCGCGGAGAGGAACCTGCTGCTCACAGCGTGGCGTCTCCACCATCAGGCCAGCCCTGCCGCGAGGTGCCTGGGGGTTTCGGTCCACAGGGCAGCCCGAGGCTGTGAGAGCGCCAGGCTGCGACCTGTTTCCTGAGGGCGCAGCCTCTGCTTCCCAGGGCTTCAGGCCCTTTCCTGCCTGAGATGTGGAGATGCTGGCTGCCTGCTCTCCTCGGACAGGCCCGAGTGGGATGAAGGCCCCCTCCCCCATCTCCTCTGGACCGCGGCAGCGGGCAGGTCTCTCCGCTGAGCTCTGTATAAGGTCCTGCCTGACCATGGTGACCGGGCCTGGTTTAGGCCACGCTGGGTCTTGGTTCCCGGCTGGCAAGCCCTCACTAGACTCTCGGAGGACTGGGCATTTTCTCCTGGGGGTGAGACAAAGCCCCTCGTGTCCACGGTTGCTCGGCTGCCCCGGAGGAGAAGGTGCCAGACGGCGTTGTGGCCATCACCAGCTCCCGGCCTCCAGGCCCCTTCCCAGTTGTGCAGCAGGAGCGGAAGCTTCTCAGCCCGCAGCGCGGCTGCTGCCTGGCTGGGATCCACCGCAGAGCTGGGCCCCAGCTGCCTGGTGAGTGTGAGGGTGCAGCCGTAACAGGACCCTCTGATGGCCCCTGGAATGAGCCCAGGCAAGTGCTGGCGGCTTCACACTGCACCAGGGCCTGGTGCCGACTCTCTGGGGTGCTGTCATGATTCGGGGCTTCTGGTGACCTGCACACAGCTGTGCCCCGGGGCTCCGGGTGGAGACCTTGGGCTGGCGGGATGAGGCCTCTGGGTCCGCCCTGCTCCTCCCCGCTTTGGGTGTTTGGGTCTGGGGTGTGCTGGATGATGGTTCCTCTCCCCCAGGTCCGAACTGCCCCAGGAAAACCGGGAAGGCAGAGACCCTCTGGGTGGAGGAGGGTCCCTGAGGCGCCTGGTGGGAGAGAGGGATCAGCGGCTCCAAGAGGAGTGGGGTCGGGCCTTCGGAAAACCTCCCGGGCAGCCAAGACTGAGGGCGATGCTGGCAGCTGCTGGCTCCCGTCTACTCTAGGAGGGCACTGCCCATTGCCCTGGGCCCCAGGGGTCTTTCCTGGACCCCCTGGGCCTGAGGCCACCATGGTGGTTCTCGGCTATATGGATGGCAGCGGCCAGCATGGGGACTGAGCCAGGTGGTGCCAGGCAGAGGTCACACTGGACCCCGAGACCGACCTCTGAGCAGCTCAGCAGCAGCTGAAGGGACAGGCTGGGGTGTGGCTGTGAGGGCGCTGGGCTGTGCTGGCAGCATGGTCCCCGCACACTCTCCTGGGCCTTGCTGGGGCAACGCAGACCCCACGCAGCCCGCCCTCTCCCAAACCCTGCGTTCAGCGAGGCCGGGAGGGCGGGGGCCCGGGAGGCCTCTGCAGTGGGATCGCCCATCCTTCCCAAATTCCTGCTCTTGCTTTCTGCTCCTTCCCAGGACAGGGTCAAAGCCTGGGGGTCTGGGCCCTGGTCTCTGACATCCAGAGCTGGAACTGCAGTTTGGAAGGGGTTTGGAAAGGGTCCGAAGCCTCTGTGCCAATCGGTAGTTGGTGGGAAGGGGCCCCAGTGGCCTGAAGGGTTGCATTTCGTTCCTGCAAAGTACCCGAGAAGGCCACGGCACCACCCCCAGAAGGCTTGAGTGTTTAAAATAGAGGAGCTCCCAGCCCTTTTGAACAGACCCTACTGGCAACAGCTTGGCACAGCTATAGTAGGGATCCCAGCCAGAGCCTGACACTGAGACTACAGACATGGGCCCCGTCCATGCCCGGACCCCCGTGTCCTTCCGCACCCACCCCCGCCCTGCGGCCTCCTTGTATGAGTTCAAGAATGTGGTATGAGTGGAACGCTGTGGCATGTACCCGTGGGGCAGACGGTTCTCATTCGTGCCAGCCCTCTGGTTCTGCCAGGTTGCGTGATGGAGGCTTCCTCCTTGTCGCTGACCAGCGTCTGTGGCGTGAGCACACCCTAGTTTGTGCGGTTGCTCTCCTGTGGAAGCACAGCTGAGCTTTCTGCAGCTTTTTCTATTACAGCTGCCGTAAACCTCTGCCGGGGTTTCTGCATGAACCTGGGTTTCAACTCTCCGGTTTAAACATCCATGGAAGCAACTACTGAGTCCACGGCAATTTTGGGTTTCATTTTTGAGGAGCCATTTTACCCTCCCAGCAACAGCCGAGTGACCAGATTTCTCAGCGTCTTTGCCGGCATGTGGGGTTGTTGCTACTTTTATTCCAGCCATTCTGATGGCTGTGCAGTGACGTCATGGGACGGGTGTGAGCGACGTGTCGCGGGACGGTTGTGAGCGACGTGTCGCGGGACGGGTGTGAGCGGCGTGTCGCGGGACGGGTGTGAGCGGCGTGTCGCGGGACGGGTGTGAGCGGCGTGTCGCGGGACGGGTGTGAGCGGTGTCACAGTGGTTCTTGCTTCCCTAATGACAGGCATTTCTCCTGGGCTTATCTGCAATCCGTGGACCTTTGGTGAAATGTCTCTTCCTGTCCATGCTCATTTTCTAATGGCATTATTTTACTGTTACGAAACTTCTTTACATATTCCAGATTTTAGCCTATTGTCAGATACGTGGCTTGCAAATATTTTCTGCCTGTCTGTAGCTTAAAAATTATTTTTGTCCTCTTAATAGGGTCTTTTATGGAGCAAATGCTTTTAATTTTAATTAATTACAATTTATCAATTTTTCCTTTTACAGATCATCCTTTTAGTATCAAGTATAATGACTCTGCCTGACCCTATATCCCGAAGATTTTCTTCTATTTTTCCTAAAAGTTTCTTTTTTTTTTTTTTGAGATGGGCTCTCGCTCTGTTGCCCAGGCTGGAGTGCAGTGGTGCGATCTCAGCTCACTGCAACCTCTGCCTCTCAGCCTCCCAAGTAGCTGGGACTACAGGCATGCACCACCACACCCTGCTAATTTTTTGTATTTTTAGTGGAGACAGGGTTTTGCCATGTTGCCCAGGCTGGTCTCAAACACCTGAGCTCAAGCAATCTGCCCACCTTGGCCTCCCAAAGTGCTGGGATTACAGGTGTGGGCTACCATGCCTGGCCCTGAAAGTTGATTGTCTTATAAGTTTTACGTTGAAGTCCGGGATCTGTTTTGAGTTATTTTTGTGTAGGGTCAGACTTGGGTTGAAGGTTTTGTTTTTGTCCACGCAATTGTTTTGGCGCTTTTGTAAAAAACTCAGCTGGGCATGTTTGTGTGGGTCTATTTGTGGGTTCTCTGTTGTGTTCCATGGATCTGCACGTCTGTCCCTCTGTCAGGACCACACTGTGTTGACTACTGTGGTTCTGTGTCTTGAAACTGCGTAGAGATTCCTTCCACTTTGTTCTCTTTCAGAATGGTTTTAGCTATTTGCGTTCTTTTACGTTTCCGTAGAAAACTTGGGATGACTTGTCCTTACCCATTAACACATCTTGCTAGGGTTTTTTTTTTTTTTTTTTTTAAAATAGGAATTGCATTAAACCTGTCCATCAATCTGGAAGGAACTGTCATCTCCACTTTGTTGTGCCTTTCAACCCACGAACGCGGCCATCTCTCTAGGTGTGTGCTGACGTCCTTCAGCAGCATTGCCGAGTTTTCAGCATGTATGTTCTGCGCGTGTTCTGTCAGGTTTACATCTAAGTATTTCACTTTTTGGAGTGGTTGTAAGTGGTTCTACATATTTAATTTAGGTGTCTGTGTGTTCACTGCTAGTATACAGGAATACTATTGAATCATTTATATTGATCTTGTGTCTTCTGACTTTGCTGAACTCACTTATTAATTTTCTTTTTTTTTAGAGATGGAGTTTCGCTCTGTCACTTGGGCTGGAGTGCAGTGGCGCGATCTCAGCTCACTGCAACCTCTGCCTCCCAGGTTCAGGCAATTCTCCTGCCTCAGCCTCCCAAGTAGCTGGATTACAGGCATGCACCACCACACCCAGCTAATTTGTATTTTTTTTTTTTTTTTTTTTTTAGTAGAGATGGGGTTTCTCCATGTTAGGCTGGTCTCAAACACCTGACCTCAGGTGACTGGCCTGCCTTGGCCTTCCAAAGTGTTGGGATTACAGGTGTGAGCTACTGCGCCTGGCCTCACTTAATTCCAGGCGTGTTTTTGGTGGATGCCTTGGGATTTCCTACAAGGACAATGATGTCATCTGTAAACAGGCACAGTTTCGTGTTCTCCTTTGTGATCTACGTGCCTTTTATTTCCTTGTCCTGCCGTATTGCAGTGGCCAGTGCTTCCAGTACCGTGCTGGATCCGATGGTTAGAGCAGACATCCTTTCTTGTTCCGGATCTGAATGAAGGGTGATTCCTTCCGCCCGAGTACAATGCTGGCTGCAGGGCTTGTGCAGATGCTCTTTATCCAGCTGAGGAAGTTCCACTCCTCCTCTGTTTTTCCAGGTTTAAATCACAAATGGATGTTAAACTTGCCAAGTGCTTTCCCCACGGTGACGGATGTGATCATGTGAGTTATCTTCGTTAGCTGGTAACATGTGGATCACTTTGGCTGATTCTCAAACAGGGAACCACCTTCATCCCCGGAACAATCCCTACT